TTACTTCTCAACAGCAATTTAGACTCAGTGTTATTATCATTTCAGGATGTGCTGTTGCATTTTGGCACGTAGTGCAATCAGATTTGTCTGTTGGGAAAATGAGCTGTGTATGCTCAGGAGTGAATCCATTAATTTATCTTCTGCTACCTTCATTTTGTACTCAGCTAGTAGTGGGAAAATGTTTTTTAATGTGTCATTAATTTAGGTTAAGGTAGCAAATATGTAGTAAGACAAACTTCTTCAAAGGTATTTAAGTGTTTTAATCCCACATGTTAAAAATCACACAGGAGGCTGCATTTCATGTCTCTCATCTTTTAGTGCTGTCACTGAGGATTTCGGTTTGTAATGGCTTTGAGAGGTTTGGGAAGAGAAGGTGCAATGTAAACAATAGGGATTTTTTTCACTCTATTTAACCAAGTATTCTTACACTTGACATGAGGAATTAAAACATGACCAGTAATGAAAATCTTTCTACAAAGCCTAAGTTAAGCAGGGTCGAACAGCTGCTTAGTCCTGTTGAATCAAGAGAATAACCCCCAGGAGTGTCCCTACACCTGTATCTAAAGCCAGAGCTCCTTGCGAGGGAAGGCGCTTCTTCCTCCCTGCAGGTACTGAGTGTATTTGTGTGCAATGCTGCCCACAGAAAGAAACTTGTGAGTTCAGTAGTTCATTAAATTGCCCCAAATACTCTAAGATGCCATCTAAGGGCACGAGTGTTGCAATTCCAGTGTCCAGATTCATTACTCCTGGGTTTGGGAATGCTGCCTTGTCCTGCAGTGGGTGACAGTGTCCATCCAAAGTGCTTTTATTAACGTGCCGAGTTTTGCCCTGGGGAGTGACCGAGCTGCTCTGCTCTGTGCTGTCAGGGTGGGCTGGGTGTGTTGCACTGCAGGAAAACGATGCTGTGCGAGCGCACGATTTAGCCAGAAACTTTCAAAGCAAAGTTGGAGCAGCTTCATCCCTCACAACCACAGCCGCCTTTGCCGGTTCCTTTCTGAGGGAGCCGGGCCGCCTGCCGCTGCTTGGGCTGGGGCGGTGGGGGAGCAGGGCAGCGCCAGCTGTGTTTCCCCTGCCCAGCTGGCTGAGCTCTCTTCACCTCGGCCAGAAGCGTCCCCTCTGCCCGCCGGGGTGCCGAGGCCCGGCGGAGGAGCCTTTGCGCCCGCCCTGAGGGCCGGGGCTGCGGGGCGGCGCTGGCCGGGCCCGGCTCCTGGCTGGGCCGCCAGCCCGCAGAGCCGGGGCGCACACGGCACAGCAGGTAAAGTCCTCCGGGCTCCCGGCCCTCCTCTCCTCCTTCCCTCTCTCCCTTTCCAGCCCGCACCCCTTGCGGCTTCCCCCGCGGCTTGTGGTGCTTTTTCTCAGAGCCCCGGTGCAAGGGGGAAGGTGAGCAGCGCAAGGCTTCATCTGCAAGAGTTGTGATTGTAAGTTCAGCTTTATGGTTATCGAGCTTCAGATAAGGCAGCGACTGCACGGAGTGAGTGATAAAATGTCTAGGATTTCTGTAGATGGAAGGGTGGCTGTTCTGGGAGTGAGAGGATAAAGTAATCCGGGAGCTTCTCATAAGCGGGGAGTCCCGCAAGGCTCAGAAATCTCATCACAGCAAATGCGAGGGGTGATCTCCGGGGAAATGCCGGGTGGGATCTGCAGGACATCCCCACAGCGTGATTTGGGACTGTCTGGGAGTTGCTGTGAGCTGCAAACCGACCTATTTGATTCAAAAAATTAACTACTTCATCCTGTAGATTGGCTTGCCAGGCAGGGTTTTCACAGCCCTTTTTGTGCCCTGCTGATTGTCCGCGTGAGTTAGGATGAAAAAGCACTTTCCTTAGCATTTAATCTCCTTATATATTAAGTTAGCATGCTTTAATTAAAATACACTCCCTGATCAAAGTGAATGAATTGGAATAAGTAAATCGGGACTGACATTGGAAGCATTCTTTAACCTATACAGAGTAATCAAACCTTACTGCAAAATTATTAGGGCACAGGCAGGAACAAACACAAGTTCATTGTCTAGGAAACCAGATACATCTGAATGAGAGACATTTACTATGGTGCTCCCAAAAGAGTAGTTGAAAGGGGTTTTAGTGTGTGTAAGAACAGGACAGAGGTGATAGCTTCTTGAAGTCAAATGTTTAAATTTTTCATCATCTGTCAGTTTGAGTCACTCCTGTTACAAGACTGCAGTTAAGTATTTGCAATAGACCGAAGTATTGCTGGAGGCTTGTTGAAAGATATTTTTATAAAGAGTACCTTGGTACATGAAATTAAACAGTCCAACAAAGGTGTCATTTATCAAATATTCAGATCTGTAACTCGAGCCATGGCAGAGAACTTTAGGGGGGAAAAAAGAGAGAGCACAGGATTCAGCAACAAAAAGAAATGCAGAAATTCAGTGTCTTGCAGATAAACCTTTGAAATGAGGGAGAGGGAGACAAAACCTAACAAAGTCTCTTTATGGTCAGAGCCAAGTCGGCCAATGGGACCCTGTGTGTCATTTCTAAAATCAGGGAACTAATCCCAGTGTAAGAAGTTGCCATCTGTGGATCAAGGCATCGTCTAATATCTCAGATTAATTTGTTGTTTTACCTGTGGGGGTGGTGATTCTCAGGCTGAGCAGAGGGCCAGGCAGAAAATCCTCCCTGCAGTGTGGATTGAAGCAGCTGATGGCCCTCAGAGCTGAGGAGGGGATGTGGCTGCAGAAACTCCTGTGTGAGTGAAACCTGCCCAGTCTTTGCTTCCTTTCCACCCCATTGCATTATTCCTGTGTGTATCCTTGTCCTTCAAGAACTAGACCAAAAGCAACACGTTCATTTTGGTTTGAACAATTGTGAAACTCAATTTTTTTCTGGTGACAACCAGTGAAAAGCTCTGGGTACCCTATTACTGCCCTTCCAGACAATTTATCTTTCAGTGTTTTTTATGCTGCATAGCACATGGCAGTAAGGATAGCAAGAGCTACCAAAACATCTCTTCCCACAGAAACTGTGTCTGTGGTGCTGGTGAAACTTTGATGGGACACCTTGTCAGTACAAAGCCCATGGCTTTGATCTGTCCAGGTGAAGTGACATGGGCAGTTTCCCAAATGTGTGACTTTCCCTCTGCCTCAGAAGAGCATAAGGGCGTTTTCTCCCTTTTTGCCAAATGTGGCAGCAGGGAAGGGAGCGCTCCTTCCCCCTCCCTGCCTGCAGCACCCTGCAGGGACAGGGGACCAGGGCCAGGCTGTTCCACCCCTGAATTCAGAGATCTGCAAATGGAGGGTCCCAGACCAAGCCTGCAGTGATACTGCAGCTTAACCAGCTAGGAAAAGCTTTGGGTTTGTTTGATAATTTTATAATTTCCTTTTCCATTCCATTTCTCTTCTGTTTTATCTGATTTTAAAAGGATTTGTTTGCCTGTTTTGACAAAACTGCATTGAAGTTGTACTTAGGTGCAGTGTAACTTGGTAAATAAATGGTGCTACAAGGGAGAAAATTAAATGAGCCATTTGTTATAGGGAGATAATTCTGTCTGCACACACACTCTTTGTGAACTTGTGTTTGCATAAAGTGTATCTCTATCCTAGAAAAAGATCTAAATTAAAAACTTGGGAGCAAGCAGCTTTGGATTGTTTTGATCTCTATTTGTACTCCATAGCATAAGCTGTCTCTGATTTATAGCCATAAAATTTGGGGTGAATATTGCATTTTGACTCTGTTCTTCCTATTTTCCTCTGCAATCCAAGTATCTTTTTATTCTAATAACACCAGAAGAAATGTCCAGACTTTTGAAGATGTGTTTCTTGTTGATATCAATGAATCATGCCAAGATTACTCACAGTCAGAACTCTGAAGGTAAGACCAGAACTCCTGTCTGAGGGGTGTATTTGTGGCACAGAAAAAGTTGTGTGTAATAAATTAGGTGCTGTTTAATAACTGGGACCATGGTCTCTGCTCTCTTGGCTTCATGGAGCTCTACCAGCAAATAATTTCATCAAGACTGATTATTATTGAATAGCCTTTTCCCCCACACTGTTTTTCTGTAAGTAAATTTAATCAAAACTGCATTAAATGTTTTAAAATAAATTATATATGTGTATATAATCACTGCATACAATAAATGTATTTTTGTGTAACACAACTGACTGATAAAACATTAAATTAACTTCTAATAATGGGATAATCTTTTACAGATTTGCCTCCATTGTTACACAAAGCTGTGGTCAGTATTTTTATTTGATCTCTCTACTAACATTTTATATTATAATACCTAAAAATAATAATTTATTACATATATTTGTAATTTTTTCCTTAGGAGGAAGTAATAGCTGGGAAATACCTGAATGGTAATGTACACAGTTGTTCCCACTTATGCTTCTAAAATGAATTAAAACTCAGTATCTCACCATAACTTCTTATGTTCCATTTTTCATGTGCAGCCCTCCTAGATATTCTTTATTTTCAAAGGTAATGTATTACTCTCCCCATCTTGATTTTTCAATATTACCTTGCACTTCAGATATGATCTGTTTCATATCCACAGAAACTGGAACATTATAGATAGAATGAAATTGGCACATATGATTACTTGGATTTAGGTCTCTTGGGAGGAGTATTTTCTGTTAACAGGGAAAAACCTGTTTGCCATGAAAAACTAAAAAAAAAAATAGAATGGGGCTGAAAATAAATACTTGCTACAGTTTTCAGAAGTTTTGATAATTAACTTTGCTCACATGTGTCCAAATGGCTTCTTAAGGAAATTAGGTGCAGTTCCAGCTGTCTGTCCACCTCCTTCTTTCATTCTCACTCCATCCCCCACCCTCCAGCTCCTGGTGACTTTTGAATTATTTGCAAATTTTGTCCAAATCTGAAAGAGCAGGATAAGCCTCAAAGACCATTCCACTCCTACATATTTTGAGAAAATCAGTGTCTGTTTAAGGAAGACACAGTGAAATTAATGACTCTGCTGGAAGAAAGGCAGCAGTTACTCCCTGTGCTTTCTGCAAGCAGATCAGAACAGGCATAATGGGGTACCAGAAAGCACATGCCTTGGAGATGGTACTAATGGCAACACCTTGGAAAATTGAGTTTATTTTGGAATTAGATGGCAAAAAACTAATTAATTCCATTCTCCATTGAACCTGTATTTTCATTGCAATAAACAGATCAACTATTACTCTGGATAGGCAAAAAACTGAATATTTTTGCCATTATGGTGTTAGCATTTTTGTATCCTTTTACTTTTTTACTCTTGTAATCTGCTATTTAACTTGTTATATTATTTTACTGGCATTTTTTATCCTGTTTTCTGTTACAGCTCTAATGTCTGGACAGCAGATCTGTTTACAAAAGTCATGGCATATTTTCATGCCAAGGAAGTTATGTTTACTCTTGGCAGTCTGCAGGTTTGTGACATTTAAGATGCATGAAAATTTTTATTTGAAAAGGAATTAAAAAAACTTAACCTATCTCTGTAACCAAAGCTAGGTGGTCAATGATAGAGGTAATTAATGCACCTACAGTGTAGCAGCACCTATACCTACAGTGTAGCAGTTAAATAGGAAATAGGAATAGGTTGTCTTTTTCCCAAAACATTGCTGGAGTATGCAAGGCAGAAATAATAACAAATTTTTTTGCTTTTCCTCTGATGGAAAGCAGGAATTAGGATTTTTCCTGCTAATTGTTTCTTAGTTGAGTGTACATAAATGCTGTTTCCCCAGAAAATGTTTCACCCAGATTTTGACTGGCTGTAGTTCATACTGCTCCTCATGGAATGAGGGGCTCCAGAGCATCCTACAAAATGCCTCCACGTTTTAAAGCTCCTCTCAGTGCTGTTTTTGTAAATTATCGATGTGGAAGTGATGCAGGAAGGAGTTGTTCCTCCTCCTGCTGCTTAGTGAGGAGCTGCTTTAAGTGGAGCTGTACCCAGCTAATCAAACCTGAGCCCTCCCTCGTCCCTGCACACACTGAACCAGGGAAGTGTCAACTGTGCCATCCCTGAGCCTCAGGCATTCCCAGAAGCTCCACAGCGCCTGAAATCTGTCCCAAGCACCCTGTCGCTGTCACAGCTCATCCTCACCTACATTTTCCTGCCACTGCCCCCTCCCTTTGTCAGGTTTATTGGCAGCCCGAGGCTTTCAGCAGGCTGAACCCCAGGGCATAAAGGAACTGTGTTAATATTTGGTGGTGGCAATGCAAGTTAAGCAAAGGCAGCAAAGAGCAATTGAAACTCAAATTCCAAACCAATTCTGAAATAATTATGTCAGGAAATAGAAGGGATTTTACTCCAGTCTGCTGCTAATGAGCCTTAAATTTATTTCTGTTCCAATATTATGATTTCCCTTCAATTTTTCAAAACAGGCATGAGATTTTTAACTGGTAATGCAGCTTGATGCAAGAGAGAATATTTTTGGCTTATGACCTCGTAGAGACTTTTCCTCCCATTTAATTTCACATTTCCTTCCCTTTTTTAAGTAACATGCACATGATATTTGATTTTTTTTTTTTTAGGCTTTTTGTTTTTAGCTCTTTAGAAGTTTAATTTTTCACAGCTCTGCTGTGTGAAGCAGAAAAGCTTTATTACTCTTGTTTTATGAAGTGAGAAACTGAGGCATCTTTGTTAAAAAGCTCCCTTGAGAGGACTTGTTCATGAAGCCGAGAATAGGATTTGAAAATTACTGTATTTCACAATGCATTTAGATTATTTTTGTTTTCAGTTTGTGTGGAAAATAGTTATTTTGATCATTGGCAGCACAGACAATACAGAGCTAAGCATTTAGTTCTCCTTGAGCACAGATTTTCAGGGGGTAAAAGTACAATAGTATGAGTTTTATGTATATTACACATATTTTTCTATACTTCAGGTGTCCATAAAAAATTACCTGAAGAACCTTTTATACCAGCCCAGGCAACTATTGTCTGAATTGCAACAGCTTGATCAGCAGCAGTTCCAAACTGCAATGAAGTACCTCTTCAACAGCAAAAAGGAGCATCTTGTAAGTGAATTTCCACATGTGAAAAGTAAAAGCTGCTGTCAGTGGTTTAGAACAATGGAAAGGGACAGACTGGCGGGCTCACAATATAGTTGCTTACCTGGCTTGAATTGGATTCCAGGACTCCCTCTCCTCTTAGGTTGGACTTAGTTCATTTAACTCTTACTGTCTAAAGGTTGCTGCAAGTCCAAGTCAGTAATTTGGATTTTCACTGTAATCAATAGAGAGAAACTCATCTCCAGAGAAGAGTTCACTCTCCTGCAGTAACACCTAAGGCAGGTAGGGCAAATAATTCTCAATGAGTATCTTCTTTTTGTGGCTGGAAAGAGAGCAAAGATAGCTAAAGAAGGTGCAATTAGTAATTTTGTTAATCAGCCATTTGAAGTATCTTTCTGGGTTTAAGTTTGGTTTTGTAAAAACTTTCAAGCTGATCTCTACCCAATGCCAGAAAGGAATTATTTGAAGTAATACAAACAACCAGCAGTTTGTAGCTGTTTTTCATGAGAACAGCATCATATTCAGAGTGCTCTCTGTCAGACCTCAAAATGAACAATATTTTGAATTAATCACAGATGTTGATTTAACACTTTGTTGCTTGCAGGAAATAGGAAATATTATTCTTGACTGGGGCAAGACTAGAGAGAGAATTTTTCAAAGCCCAGGAGTAAACAGGACCTTGTTCCTTGTAACACTGGATAAATGCTTCCTGGCTCTGAGTGCCCTGGACTGTGTGGATATCCTGAGTCAGGTTTTGCGTGTGTCAGCAGTGAACTATCTCCAACCTGATGTCATTGGGAGTCTCCCAAACCTTCTGCTGGAGGATGCTTTCAGAAACTTGTAAGCCATTTATTTTTCAGGCACAATTAATACTATATTGGATTTGCTGACTGTTAAAAATGAGGTTGCTATATGGTTTCAGTCTGTTTTCCAGATACAGCTTTCTGCTTATGTGTAAATAATGCTGTTTCTATAATCATTTGTCCATGTGTCATTAAATAAAATGAATGGTTAACTCATTAGTGAACTAACAAACCTGTTTATCACTTAGATCATCATTATTCAAGGACCTCTATGACAGAACCTCAGCAAGCACTCAGAGAGCTCTCTATGGCTGGATGAAGCAGATTCTACAGAAATCTTACAACATGAGTGGTATGATACAAAATGTTTTCTTCTTGCTTACCATAAGAGAAAAGCACTCTGCAAAAGACCTGTCCATTGTATTGAATTGTTTCCTCAGTTAACACAGGTCTGTGTAAGAGAGCTATCTGGAAAACCTTTTCTGCAGAGCAGAGTAAATATAATGTGTTTGTTACTCATGACAAAAAGTTCTCCAGAGATGCTTGAACTTGTAGAGTAGAATCATGCTATTGTTAAGGCTGGAAAAGATCTCCAGGATCAACAAGTGCCACCAATGGACTCTTCTTCTGCTCTGCACAGAGCTATTCACAAAGGCTTTTTCTAGTACTCCAGTTTTTCCTCTCTGTACTAAGTCTGAAATAGGATACAGTGGCCAGGTGCTCTGCCAAGGCGTGTTGTTCTCTTCTGAACTCCTGTTCAGACGAGAAAAACAGCTCTGGCTCAGGATACATTATCCACTGCACTGTTTAAAAACACAAAAGAAATGCAGGATGTTGTGAAAGCACATGGCACCAACTCAATCAGCAAAGGGACATGATAAAACCAAAGTTAATTAATTCTGATTGGATGCATTTTCCCACATCTGTTTACCTGGTTAATGTGCCTGAAACAGCTGTTCCATAGCTGGGACAGGCAGGATGGGTTCCACAAGGGGGCTGTGCAGGGCACTGAACATCAGAGCTGGTGCCTGGGTTTCACTGAACATCCCAGCACAGCTGTCCTGGGAGCATTTTAGACTTACAGATGTGTGTGTTCTTTCTCCCTCCTTAGAAATCAAAGGTTAAATGCTCACTTGCTTTAATAGAGCTAAATTTGCCTCCTAGGTCTCCTGCCATTTCAAAATATCAGAGTAACCCAGTAAGTCGTGGAGAGGAGGTTCATGCTGCTGTTGTGAGCTGATGTTAGTGCCAGTGCATTGATGAGGAAGCAAAGATGCACAATTTGCCTGGTGCTACTCATCAGTCCTGGGAAAATCCCTCTGCATCATCTTGAGTTGTGTCTGAAGCATTGGCTAACCCTCAATTTATGGAAGATCACACAGCTTGAGAAAGACTGGGAGTTGGTGTGCCTCTTTTTCCTCCCTGTTGCTGCTTCACCTGCCAAAAGCAGCACAGATGTGGTGAATCCACCCCCAGGGCACCAAGTGTGGGCTGATTCCCAGCTGGTTGTGACCATGTGAACCATCAGCCCTGGGCATGCACACTTGGACTGGGAGTCTAAAGCTCCCTCATGTTTATCTGCACTCCCTAGGCCACAGCAGAGTGCAGGAACAGTCCTGCAGGAGGGCGATTTATTCACTTTATATGTGGGTAGCACTGGGACCACCTGGGATATGGATCAGTTTTTGGGGATCACAGCTGCCATGGGTGGTAACTGCAAGTCTGTTCTGCTAAAGGCCACAGTCAACATCCTTAAATGTTACTGGTTTTTATTTTAGCTCTCTTGTCATGTCTTTCAACTCCTGTAATATTCTGGGTAATAGGAGGTAATATCACTTTAAAAAACGCAGGCCTGACAGGTCTGCTGGGATCGTCGTCTTGTCTCAGTTAAGGAGCTTAGATCTGTGTTTTCAAAAAAATCACTTAATGGAGTCCTTCAGCTTCTGATAGATGCAGACTGTTTTTTTCCCAGCACTGGAAACTCTTCAAAGTGCACTGATGATTTTATTTTAGCAGAGCTGTGAGTATCAGCACTGCTGAGGAATGTATTCAGAGGTGTCACACACTGAGCCATCCAAACGACAACAGCCTGGAGAAAACAGTCTTTGTGGCTCAGGGTACCCGTGGAGTCCATAAATATGTTTTTTCTCAGGGATATTTGGATCTTGATTTAATTTTCGGTCCTTGGGAGAATGTTACTTAATGAATACCATTTATTATCCAGTGTTTTGTGGTTTTGTCAGCCTATTTCCATGTAGGTATTTGAACAGTTTTTCATTTTCTCTATTATTGCTATTGCATATTGCTGAAATAAGTGGCATCATCAATAATAATATATAAGATATATAAAGTATCATGCCTTTCTGATGTTCTTAAATTGATGCAATTGATTAGGAAAAGTGAATTTTTAAAACAATGTTCCATATTTAATACTTTTGGATAAATTTTTCCTGTCCTACACTTTATCCATTCTCTATTTTGGCAACATAAAACATTAATTGGTTTTGTATTAGAAAATTTGAGACACTTTAAGCACTATTTAATTTCCATTAAAAAATGTATGTACTCATAAAATTGGAGTGCTAAAATGTAGCAAATGGAGGGAATCTATCTCTGCTAAGGATTTTTCTGATTTTCAGATTTTTTATTATTTAACAATAACAATATACTGGGTAAAATATATTTGAAAAGTAATTACTTTCTGAACATTGTAGTGAGTATTTATTTGTACAAAACAGAGTTCAATGAATCAACTTCTTGGGTCAGTGCAGAAAGCTTATGGATTTTGGGAAGATACATGGTCCATCTCCCATTAGAAGAAATTCTGAAAATTAGTCTCAATGAAGTAAGTAACAAAGTGTGGTTGGATATATTATTGCTATAAACAATATAAACACAAATGCAGACTTAAACATGAAAAATAACTTAATATATCTTAATTAATTATAAAGAGAAACTACAGAGGGAAAATATAAATGTATTCTTTATAAAATTCTTTTATCTTTTTAATTTTCAAGTGCCTGTCATTAATATGTAATTATTTATTTGTATCAGAGTTCTGTGATTTCTACTGAAAGGGACCAATGATAGAAGACCCTCAAATTATATGACATTTTGGCAGATAATCACTCAAATCACTCACTCAGCTATGCCTTCAGAAATACTGGTTTATCCAAATCTTCTTCCTTTCTCTGTTAATTTTGGCTAATTAATTCTGAGTGTGAGACACAGACTTTATAGGATTCATTGTCCCCCAGTGCTGATGCATGGTTTTGTTTGTGCTGGCCAGATCAGACTGTTCATTAGCTACGACAACGCAACAAAGCAGTTGGACACGGTGTATGATATCACACCAGAGCTTGCACAGGCCCTCCTGGAAAGGATAAACTCGTCAGGATTTGATATGAGGAACACTTCAACTATCTACAGGCAAGGCTGTTTTGCTTTTTCTTTTATGGCTGCATAAGGATGGAGCAACTAAGGAGAACATGGAAATTGATAGCATGGCACAGCTTTTTCATTCCAGTGGAAAAATCTAGGCTGAAATCCACTCTGTTTAGCAACAGTGAAGAATTGCTACTTTATGATTTTTTGGAAGTGTGCCTGATCAGCTAATGCTTTGTCTCCTGCTCCACAGTGATGAAATGCCTGTAGCATTTGTAGGAAGTCTGCAGCAGTATCTGGGGGACCTAAGCAGAGCTCCACCACATCACAGAGCAATAAAATAAACTGGGACAGCAGGACATGAGTTGTCTTGGCTGCTTGAATCATAGAACATGGAGGTGTTTGGTGGAAATCATGTTACAGTTAGGATGGAAGGAGGAAATCTCAACTCCTGCCAGCCAGGACTGCGAGTGGGTTTAAACTGGTGTGGGTGTCGCCAGAGAAACCACCAAGTGAAGCAGTGTAAAGCCTGCCCTGCTGTCCTCTTTGTCCTGCAGGGTAGACATGAGCCATGCTTAAATATGTTTGGATGTTAAGTGTGTAAGCAGGAAACTGAATTTTCAGGGCTGTCAAATCTGCACTGAACTAACTTTAACACTAATAAAAAAACAAAATAAACTGCTGTTACTCATAAATACGCAGCAAGCATAAGAGAGCTCTGCACTCCACATTTACATTTTCATTGTCATATCAATGGATGTATTTAGTCCCAAGATAATGCTGTCTGAAATTATTTGTAGTCTCCTTGGGGGATACCTTGGAGTTTTAAACTAATGGAGAATATGCTTTATAGCTTCAGAGCTCCTGTCATTACTGCAGTGCAGCTCGCTGACTTCCGTGAAGCATTGCTCTTGTCGGAGGAGTAAGCGAGAGAAGAGTTATGCCCACACTCTAAATTTCAATGTCAGAAATCTTAAATATTATTTTGTCACTCACAAGAGCTGCCACAATCTCACAGATGAGAGAAATGTCATGCTCCATAATCCTTAATATATTCCATTTTTACAACACGCTTAGTTTATGTTGCTCATTTTAACCATACTGTTGATTTAAATGCACTTTTACTTTTAAGAAAGTAGTGTTATTCATTTCTGCTAATCCCAAAGGAGATTAAGAGCTTTTGGTGGCCATGCAATAATGCAACAGAATGTAATTATTTGTTATAAAAATGCTCTTATAGATGTTTCTTTGATTTGTATGTTGGTTTGATGATCTCCCATGAATTCAGATGTGCTGCTGAAGCACTGTTTTGTTATATTGCTGGCAGGTTGTTGTTGAGGGACTGGAGGAACTAAAAGCCTTTCTGTGCTGCAGAATTTGACTGATTTTGTGGTAGTGCTGCAGCATTGTCCACTGATCATTTGATTCACATTTGGACATTACTGCCCAGATTCTGCCTGTGCCTGTCTCACTGAACTGCAAAAAAACCAGGGACTGTAGCAGGAAAGCTGGGTTTTGGACATACCTTTAAGGTTCTTGTTATGTGTGAATTATAAAAGCAAAGCCTGACTTTACAGGGACAGGGAATTGACTCAGGCTTCCTACAAACCAGTTCATCCCCATCACTATCAAGTTCAAAATCCAGACATAGTGATGCACAATTCAGAGCTCTTTCTTTACAGGGCTGCAGGTTAAGGCAGCTTCTAGGTCTAAGCTAGGACACCTACAAAAGGCATGTCTCCATGGTGGTGTGACTCCTCCTCTCCAAAAACTATGGCTGTGGTTGCACTTTACAGAGGTCAATGGAAATTTTAACTTAAATATTACAGCATGAGAACTGTGAAAGAAAGTGAGCTCAGTTCAAACCCCTGCCTTGCAGACTGCTGTGCTGGCACAAGTGGGCAGTGAGCCTCAATGTGCTTTCTCCTGACCAGTGTTGAACTGGACAGGTCTCCATCCATCAGCCAGTCCTGTGTTTGATGTGAAATACAGCAGGCTTTGTTTATTCCTAAAATGATAAAGAGGCCATGTCATGCCCCAGCTGCTGCTCTGAAACACAAATGGGTTGTGTTACATGTGGAATCCAAGCAGGACTTGGAGTTCAAAACATCCAATCAAACCAGATAAGAACTCAATAAGCCACTTCTAGAGACTTAGTAATAGCCCTCCATCATTTTCAAGATTGTTCTGTCAGAGAAGTGGAGTCATTAACTGGGACAATCCAGCCATGAACAAATGGGTCCAGGACAGGTAAATTCTCAAGCACAAGCAATCCAGGCAGGCTTCAGCTGAATACAAAGGCTACTGCATGTTCTCATACCCCTGTTACAGGCTAAGTTTTAAGGACTGCAGGTTCAGGCACTCATGACAAACAGAAATGGTTCAAGCTGTGATCACAAGGAGAGGGTACCAAGCTGTGTTTCCATTTCCCAACAGTGACACCTTTTATGTCAGAAGGGAGCTAATGTATTTCTGCTCTATAGGCTGGGTTTGTTGGTTTGTTTTTATGATGACCTGGAACAGATGGATGCAGCTGTGGCCCGGGCTCTACTTCATCAAATGATTAAATGCAATCAGCTGAGAGGTTTCCAGGCTGAGGTTCATGAGGTGTGTACAACACTTGTTCTTCTTGCCTAACATAATCCTGTAAACAGAGGAGGAAAGATCTTATTAAATAAGGAAAGAAATGAGTGAAAAATTATTGGGACTTAAGAAATAAGAGAAAATAGTTCTTGAGAATGCAAAGAATAGAAACTAATTTTGGGTGCTTATTCTTTTCTCATTCTGTTTCATATTCCTGTTCCATATACCTTTCACAACTGTGGTTCTATTTTTGAAATTTTATGAAGTGTATGAATATTTGCCAATGCCTATTCCAGAGATTCCAGTTAATGTTTTGGGTGGTAATGGAAATTGGTTATTGGCAGATTTTTATTTGTGATCTGCTCTTTTTGTTTGATTTAGCTCAAATCTCAGCTCCTGAGCATTGCCATGCAAAACCAGACATTGAATGATACCCTTGGATCCCTGTCAGATGCTGTGGTTGGATTAACTTCAAGTCAGCTGGAATCTCTGTCACCTGAAGCAGTGCATAATGCTGTTGCAACATTAAACCAAGTCTCTGGGTGGGCAAAGAGCCAAGTTATGATTTTATCCAGTAAATATCTCTCTTATGAAAAGGTACCTCTGAGAACAGCTTTCCTACCTTCTGTTTTTAAAAGTGAAATGGCTTTTTCTCAACAATAACTGTAGATTTTGAAAAGTTTAGTATAAGAATTCAATTTAGTTAGTGGCCTGGAAAATATGTTTAAATCAAATAAAAGCATCCAAGACTATACATCCCAAAGTAATTCTCGAGTAACAGAGAGAATGAGTATTTGGATTTGGCAGTTGTGTATATTATTTTATCTGTGTCACTGCCCTAAACAGAATTTGCATGATCAGAGATCTGAGGCTGTATATTCAAGTATACTGTAATGCAAGGAATCAGGTCCTGGTTTAAGTTTCAGAAAAAGGAACTTCTGAGAAACTTCAGGCATTTGTTTCATGGACAGATGCAGAAAATGCATTCCCAGGGAAGAAATGCATTAAGTATTTAAGAAGAATAGTTTTGCTTTATTTATTGACTTTTGCTTTAAAATATATCTGCTGGTCTCAATAAAACTTCCTGTTTGCTTGTGCTGTTCTCCCTGCAGGTTTTATCATTTTACAACGTGAGCCAAATGGGCGCCTTGGTGGCAGGAATTGGCACCCGGTCACTGCACAGCATGAGCCCCAGGGAGCTGGCTCAGATCATCCGAGGCACAACATCCCAGTACTTGTCTGACTTATCTCCTGCACAGCAGCAGGGCATCCTCAGGAAGGTGATTATTAACTCCAGCTTGTGGCAGGTTCTCTCTGCACAAGAGCACCATAACCAGAACTGTAGAGCATGAATTAACCAGGATACGTCCTTTAGCTCAATGGTTAATGGTTCTACTGCTTTTTTTCTGAACACCAAGGGTATTTTGAAGGCTCTCTCTTGCTTATTTCATTGAGTTTTTAATACTGTCATGTTTTTCCTTTATCCTCTTAAGAGAAATATTACACAGAATAGAAAGAAGGGCAAATCTTGTAAATCTAAGCATCAGTTCAGAAATGCCATGTATTTCTGTGTTTCTCTTTTTAGATTGCTGCATCTGGAGATTTTTCTTCATCAGTCAAAGATATACAAGGAGCTTTCTTTAAAGAAGTTTCTCTTTCTGGTTTGTGGAAGCAAAGTGGATATTATTCTTCAATGCTGAAAGAAAAAGAACTAAGAAGCAGCCAGGTAAAAATTGTTATGCAGTTCCCATTCCACTGCAATTTAGTGTGATGGGAGAATTGGAAAAGTGGCGTAATGTGTTTGTCTTCAAGGAACACAGGTAAAAGGAAGGAACTGCCCGAGTTAAATCTCAACATAAACACCAAAGGGCATTTAGAGCCCAGGCAGCACTATGAGACAATGCTATGGAAGAGGAAACATTAATATGTTGAATCTAAGCCCCCAGGTTTCTTCCATGTAAATTTTCTCTTTCCAGTACTGCATATTAGACATTTGCTTGTAATGTCTAGAGAGATGAAAGGTTGGATCAGATGATCTTCAGAGCTCCCTTCAGCCCTAAGTTTTTGAGTGGCTGTGGGCTGTGTACAGCTTTAACATCATCCCATAATGCCAGGCAGTGATGGTTTGGCTTGTGAAGAAAAAATTAATCTAAACTGGATGCCAAACCTTTTAGTTGCTGAAGCTGGACCATATAAGTACCTGTAGAGTACATGAGAGAGCTCAGAGTACAAAAACCTTGCAGTAGTTTATATCTCTTACAACTGGATTAACTAAATTTACGTTTAATTATGGTGGGTTTATTTTCAGGCTTTGTATCTGTATGAATTACTGTTCAAGGAAAACTATCCTGTTGACCTTGTAAGGTAGGAACTGTATCTCTTATGAAATGGGGTTTAAGAGTAGTTTTGTGATGAGAGCAACTTTGGGGTAAACAATATGTGATTTTTATGTATTACCTTATGTTTATTCATTCCTGGATACCACAGGATAATTCACCTTCCTTATTAAAAAGGGTCTTCAAAACCAAAATGAAGATCAAAGCATTGTACCTTTTATGTCAGAAGGGAGGTTTTAAGTTGATATTTTTCAATTTGTTTGCATTTTTACTTTCAAGAGCCTTTTAATTACAGGAAATGGGAGAGGTGAAGAAACTGTGTGTTAGAATGGGGTAGTGGAGAGTAAGGACTAGATCCTGCTTAAATATTCATAAGATTGAAATTTGCCTTTCCTATCAGCACAGGACAGCTTGTGAAAGGAGTAACTTGTCAACTCTTTGAAAGTATGGACACAGACATATTTTTAAACAATTTTAAATTCTTTGAAATTAATCTTCATCTGCTTTCTCCATATCAGGTAAACAAATAAAAAAGAATTTATGTACATAAACATACCACCCAATATCCAAATTAGGTAGATTAAAATTTGGCTCATTCTATTTTGTCTTTGGATTTTTGGGGATTTTTTTTCAGATGTCTCAACTTGTCTGTTAGCATATTTTATTTAAATCTTTTATGTGTGAATTTGTCTGTTATCATACTTCATTTTGACAATTTCATTTGTCACTTACAAATTGCAAGAAATTCCTACAGCCCTTCCGAATTGTTAATTCATGAGTAATCTGTTTGGAAATACATAGAAGTTTCAGAAACATACAAATGTTCTCATGTTCCCAAATATATAATGTTTCATCTCTGATGTCTACAAAAAGAAAACTAAACCAAGCCAAATAAAAATGCTCTCTGAAGATAATATGCACAGTCTTATATATGCTAATTTATATATATGCTGCAATAAACAAGTCATATTTTTTATTCTTCTTCAAAACTGCTAGAGGTTTAAGATCCTAAATTTTTGTTGCCTTTAGGTTAATTGTTTGGCTTGGAAATTTTGGAAAGTCTCCAATGCATCCATTCCTCCCTTCCTTTTATTGGCGCTTCCGTAAGTTAGTCCATCTTAACTTGTGAGCACTTTTCAAATAATCTCTTCAGTCCTAAGAAAACTGATGATTCAAATGAATGGTAATTTATCAAATGTGGTCACTGACTGTAGGCAAAATCTGTCTCAAGTGAAAGCTGGTAATACTTTGTGTCTTTTAGTACATTTCTGTCACAATTGTAGATTTTTTTCCCCATAGGTAGGCTTATCTGGTTTAGGTTTGCTTATTTGTTTAGGGGTTTTTATAAGCGTGGATATATAAGACAAAATGACTGGATACTGCAGAAGTATATTATTCTGTATGGTTGGAAACATTCCAGTGTGTTTCAAGACATTTGTGTAAGTTAGCAAAACTTCTCAGTGACAGCTTTTTTCCTTAGGAAAAAATAACTTGTGTATGGATGAGAACTCCTGAACTGTAAATTTTGTTAATTCCTTCCTTCCTTTCTTTCTTTGTCTCTTTCTCACTTTCTCTTTCTGTCTCTTGTGCCCTTTCTCTCTTTCTTTCTATGTGCCTAAGGGGATAAAAGGGACTGAGAGCTCTTCTTTTTTGTGGAATATTTATTAATTGAACAAAGTAAGAAAAGTATTCCATTTGAGAAGGCTCTATTCTACTTAACAACTATAAAATAATAATAGAAAGACTTTAATGCAAGGCTTCCTACAAACTGCAGCACTCAGTTTTTTGGCAACAATCACATGTTGGCTGTTCAGGGCCATCAGAAGTTACTGGTGTCTACAGACCCTGTCAAGGCTGGACCTGTGCAGATGTGGGCCATGGCTTTATTTGCCAAGATTATCTGCCACTCTGTGTGGAGAAGGGCATAATTTTTTTTTTTTAATTTGGCAGGATTTTTGGATTTTGATAAAAAGGAAACCTACTCTAAAACTACTTGTGGTCCTCAGGCCATGCACCACATTTTCATTCATTGGAGAATTATTCCTAATAAAACAGAGAAAGAGAAAAACTTCTGAGCTGTAAACTGTTGTTCCATATTGTGTTAAAGAATCTCAGAGCACTTTCATACACTTGCAGCTATTTATAATTCTTAGCCATTTTTTGAAGTTCAGTTCATGTCCCGATGGACTGGAAGAAGATGTATTTGAAGTAAGGCAAGGGTTAATTGCAATTTTTTTGGCCTGTCTGGTTTATGATTTTTCAAGTCCAGCCTTGTCTCTAAATATTTCTGTCATCAGATTTCATGGGTATGGTTGTGGGTTTAGGAAGGTCAGGTTTACATTCTGAGACCTTCTGCATTCTTTCTGCAGTTCTGAGTACCTGGAGTATGTTACAGGCCCTTTGTGTGTCCCTTTCCTTGACCGTGTGGGGAAGATTGGGATGGACCTTCTGAACCCAAGCCTTCACAAAAGGGATGCTGTCCTGCAAAAAGTACAGGAGTGCTTGGTGGGTATGGCTGAGAGGGGTCAGCAGAGGTGGAGTCACCATGGAGGAGAAGAGAGTCACCACATGAATTTTTCACCCATCCATCTATATTTTTGGGGGGGATTTATGTACTGTTTCAATTTTATTGTTTGCTCCTTAAGGAAATCTTTTTATAGCTTGTTTAGCAATTTTCCTTGACTCCATGCATGTTAGAAAGTGTTCTCATGAAATGTCCTTGCTGGCCAGGACAGCCTGGAGCTGACCGGTTTGCACCTAGAGCTGTTCCCCTGGGTCCAAGCGGTGCCAGTCCAAGCAGAGCTGTTGTGGCACAGGGAGCTCCATGGGAGAGGTGATGGTAACAGGAGGATTTTGTGAGTTCTGCTGTCTAAGAGCTGCAGCACTCACCAATTTTTAGGGGAAACTAGCCCTTTGATGTAGCTGTGGCTATTCCTGTCCTTACACACAGCACCAGCTGTATAATCCTCAATGTTTTGGCAGCTGCTTGAGAAACTCCTTAGAGCTCAACCTTCCAACAGCAAGAGCTTGGGGCCCCTCTGCTGCAAGGGGCCACGTGAAGGCTGTGCTGCCCAGACAGAACTGCACCAGCTCTGCAGGTGCTGGGTGGTCACATTCTTTATGTGATTCAGTATGGAATAAAGAATACTGAAAGCTCTGGGAAGTGCTTATGAAATATTACCACTTAGATTGGTAAAACAAAAAACGTAAAGTAGTCTCAGCAGAAAATGTAGATTAAGTTGCCAGTGCAAACTGTTGTGTCTTTGTTCCTTATAGCTTAAATGAGTTGTGATGCAGCTAAGTGATACAGGGCAAGAGCCCAGGTTAGGTCTGCCAACAGGGCAAATGTTTCTTGTTTCAGAACAGCTCCATTGCTGATGAATATGATGTTGACCTCCTTGGAAATCTAATCTGCCACTTACCTCCAGCCTTTCTACATGGCAGAATGTCCCTGAAGGCAATGGCAGCAGCCCTACATCAATTCAAACTTTGCCAAGAGCTCAGCCACGAGCAGAAGACTGAAATTAAATACAAACTCCTTCGGTTATATGGGTAAGGTATTGGATACACCACCGTGGTCATGATGCTGGTTAGGCCATGCAAACACCAAGCATTTGCTTTGCCCAGATGAACTGCAGTGAAACCAGCACAAAGCAGCTTCTGTCACTGCCCAAGTTCAGAGTCTTGTCCACTAGAACGACATTTCTGTTCTTGTGTGTAATGTGATAACTGTGGAACAAAATACAACCCCAAGGACACCCTGTATGACTTAAGTCCCAGAGGAAAAGGAGGGAAAGTGTAATGTTTAGGGGACGACAGGCAAATAGACTCACTGGCCTGGCAAGAGAAGGGGGTTATGAGCAGAGAATGGTGCAGGAACGCAAAGAATGGGAGAATGGAAGTGGGGTACTTGGTGTGCTGGTGTGAGAAGACAAGTAAATAAGTCTGCAAGCACCTGTGGTAATAGGAGACAGCAGAGAAGAAGCAGAGGGATGTAAAGTTCAAGCATTTGCAGCAGCAGAGTGGGCATTGTGTTGGTTGTCACTAAGGACTCAGATTTGGAGGGCGAATGGAACCTCACTGGTATCAGTCATGCTAAGAACAAAGCCATCCTCTATCTGGCAAGAATATACGGTTTCTGTTTTACATTGTTCTTTGGAAGTATCTTGCATTTGAAAAGGGAGACTGGTTGCACAGTTTCTAACCACTCCTTCACCCTGAAGTCAGTCACTTGATCCACCTGATCACGTTAGATGTTGTTCAGCTGCCAGCTAGTCAGCATTTTTCTGTGATAGGATAGCTGTATGTTCCAGCAGATCCCATCCCTGCATTGATCTTGATACAAATCAGTTTTATTGAATCATGCTCACTGTGCTAAATAAGATTTTACATTATTTTTTATAGTTTAATTTTGAAGATATTTAAACATCCTCATAGTGGAGCAACAAAGCAAATAAAATTGTTTGTGGGGACATGAGCTAGTAACATATTTGTTACTACACTCTTCTATAGGCTCTGTCAGGCTGAAAATAACTTATCTAAGTACATTATTAATTACCCACCAAATGGGTTGACTGACATTTGTCAGATTTGGATGATGTTTCTACTTCTCTTTTGATAACCAGTTTTCAGAATGCTATTGCAATATGAACTGACAGAAAATGGTAAAATTTCTTTCAAAGAAAGAATTATTTCTCCTTGTTCAAACACTGTAACACTAAGAACACTTGACTATTGAGGGAGAGCTCCATCACCACCATATTTGAAGGGTTTTTCTGATTATATTGTGAGTTCCACTAGTGCCCTATGCCCAGAGAGATGAGAAAATGCAATCTGATGCTTATAACAATGAATCATCACATTAGCATAGAATTGTGTTTCCTGTATGAGAAAGTATTATAAAAACACTGAAATTTTAGTATTTTTTTGTAATGTTCTTTAATAATATAATTTTTCAAAATATTTTTTCAGCTCCTCAAATAACTGGACAGCAGAAACAACATTAGATGTTGGACCATTCATAGTTATGTTGTCAAGAGAGGAATTAAACATCCTTGCTGAAAAGGTATGCTTTTATTAAAAAAATTAAATTTGTACCATATATTTTGGAACTTGGATTTGTGAATATCATAATGCAGTCTAAATTAACTAACCTGAATGCTGAACTAGGTAAATAATTATTTTGTCAAGGAATCCTGTGTTAATGTTTCATATATTCTTGACTCCATCAAAGAGATTTCTTCTTGAGAGTAATGTTACTATAAACAATGACTTGCATGTGTACAATGACAATTGTACATTGTCACATAGGGAAAAAGGGGCATTTATAGTGATGCAGACTCATTTTTAGTACTTTACACCTTGCAGTGCTCTTTTCTCTATCCTTCTGCTTTCCAACCATAAAAGTTGTGTTTTTTATCCTTTTATTAATGGGGTCATACTGATCAAATTAGCATTTATTCATGTGGCCCTTTGCCCTGGGGCCAGCATAACACAAGTAACAATATCTGATTTCCTCAGCATTGCACTTTGTAATTTCCTTGCCCTCTTTAGTTAATATAATCTTAATTTTTTTATGCATAGGAGTAAACTATACTGAAGTGAGGGATTCATTCTTCAGCAGAAATATGTGAACACAGTCAGCAGCTTTTCCACTGGAGATAGTGCTTATAATTGACCAGATAGAATAGGACTCATCAAAGGAAAGGAAGGTGTCTAGCAGGGTGGAGGAGAGAGGTCAGAAAAGCCTAAAGAAGGCAAACAGGTCAAAGTTATTTCTCATCATTTAATTGGGTCCCTATCCTCAATTCACATACTTATCTGGCAAATTTAAGACAAGTGAAATGAAGACCAAATTGAAATTGTGGCACTCATTGCTCCAGGAGGGGCTGGACACAGACACCAATCAGCCAGTGCTCAGGTGTTGCCAGAAGCTGGGAGGGCATACAGGTGGGAGAATCACTCAGAATTTGCTTTGTTTCTAATTTTTTCCCCCTCAAATGTATGCCAGTGACCTTTCAGTAGCAGCCAATTACTCTTTTCTGAAACATCTGCACCATGGGACGAGACTGAACTGTTAGTTACCCCTGCTTTGCTAAGGTCTGCACAAGTCTTTCTCCACAAATTGATTTGTTTTAAAAGGGAGAGAAGCCTTATTTATTCTTTCTTTCCTTTTGAAGTTCCCAGATATCATTTTACAAATAGCAAAGACAATTGGACCAGTTTCTTCAGCTGAAGAGCTTCTGTCAGCTGTGTTCGAGTCAGTCTCTAATGGCACTGGCAGCGCCCGCCTGTCTCTCAGCAGAGCTGGTCAGTATTGCACCGGGGGTCTCTTCAAAGTGCTGCCATTTGGGGCTGAGATGGTGCTATTCAAACAGACTTTGTCTCACTTTGTCATCAAATGCCTTCTGAGAAGCTGAATGATAAAAGTGAAGTATTGAGTTCATAAACTTACAGGCTTTCAGGCTAAAACAGTGAGAGTCTTCATTCTGCTGCTCATCAGAGTTGTATAATGCACTAATTGCTGAAACTTTCATTACAAGATTGCGTAATTAAGCGTTTCCTGGAATCCTGAGTGCACAAAGGAAAAAGATGAATTATTTGAATTAGAGGGTTTTTTTAATTTAATTTTTTTTTTATCTTTACTTTGTAATCTAATTGAAACCCCTTGAATTAAAAACCTGTGAAGGTGACAAGTTACCATTGAGCCAAAAGATTGCACATACTTAATCCTTTGCCAGACATGAGCATATGGTGACTGATCTGTTCTTAAATCTGACAGTAGTGGCACTGTGTTTTTTCTGTCCAAATGGACAAAGTTTGTAATCATCTAAGAGGTATTTTAACTAGCAACCAAACTAATCTATTAGAATCTCTGGTGACAAATGGATTATTTTCTTTATATAAGATAGATACTCTGACTATATTCTATTATTATAATAACAACTATTCTTTCTCTGAAATTCACCCAGGCAGAATTTGTAAGCTGTGCCATCCTATGCCATGGAAAACAATCCTGCTGTGGGGGAAGCTTTTGAAAAGCACCAATGGGAATTTAGACCCAAAGATATTCAAGGAATTTAATCTTGCCTGCCTTTGTCTTTGAAAATCTCCCCCTTGGTTCTCTGCCTGGCAGAATAGAGGTTCAAGCTCTCAGCAAGCCCTGAGCCACCCTGGAAATCCATCTGCTTGTATAGCAGGAACTGTGAATGATGTCTGTGTGTCTCTGGGCATGAATTTGCCTCTTACAGTGCTGTATTCATAGGCAGAGAGAGGTGGAGGCAGTTCTGAGAGTTGTGTTTTTCATAGCTTGAAACAAAACATAACCTCAATTGATCGGAGAAGTCATTACACAATCATCAGGCTCTAAAAAAAGCATGACTCAGCTGGTGAAATAGCAGGGGGTTAGTTCACCTGTATGCCTGAAATTCACTCTTCCTTCAACAAGTAAATCAGCCGATCATAAGCCATATTTCTTTAGACATGGGCCATAGGACTGAAGGTTCAGCAACAGGTATTTCAGTATGCTTGTGTCCCTAAGTGGTTTTTTTTTTAAGCCTCTGGATCTACATGAATCCCAAAGACTTCTCTAATCAGCCCAGCTCATGTCCAGTGCAGTTGCAGAGCTCTCTCATCTGCATTGCAAGACCAATGCCAGTGAAGCTGAGGGTCTTTGTCAAAGGATAACTTGGTTCCAAGGCCCTGGAGGCTCCTCAGTCTCCACTTGGGGTCCATGAGCTCAACTGGGGGAAATCTTGGAGATGAGAAGTTGAAGCATTGTTTGTTGAAGGAAATGCTTCTGCAGCCCAAACATGGTATTGAACTTCTGTTATCAAACAATCTCATCAGCTCCATACAACTCACACAATGGTTTCAGTAAGGAATGAAATTTAATTACTGATTTGTAAATCACTAAAGAAATGGGTATTATGAAAATTACTCCAGAATAACGTTGATGCTTTTCATGCTACCAATGCTATTTTGCATTTCTCACAGACCAGTTGTAAGCTAATTTTAATAACAGTAGCAATTACCAGTTACAGAGTTCTTGCACCTATATCTATATCAAGATTAAAAGCAAAGGTTTTAAGGTGCTTAAGGCAAGATGGAACATGAAAAGCAAAACTAGGGAACTGTGTGTCTGAGATGCTACCAGAGGGCAGTGGCAGTGCTGGAGAAAGAATTCAGGTTTCTCACCACAAGCACTGAGACGTTATAATGTGTATAAATATGTTTTTCATCAAACTAAATCTATAGCAAAAGGAACAACAAAGTGGCACCAGGTCAAAAACCTAATTAGTATTTCCCTCTTTAATTGCATCAGTGTATCTTGTGTGTTAAAAATTATAAAATCAATGTTTTTTTTCAAGAACACCTAGTCTTAGGTTTTCATGACTTGGGGAAGGGAGCTGCACTGTGTCTGGATGAGCAGTATTTACATGAGAAAAGCTGACCTTCTGCAGCAAGGGAAAGGAAAACAATGCAGCTTCACAAGAGGGAGGTAAAGGGAGAGCAGAAGATCAGCTGGTACAGTGGAAGCTGAGCAGCATTTTCATTTGCTCAACAGATTCAATCTTTTCAGTGTTCTACCCACTACTGCAGCTTCCTTTGATGCAAATAAATCCCTCCTCTGCCTCCTTTTAAAGTACAAATCTACTTTGTACATCCTCGCTCTAATTTATTTATCTGGGGGAGATTAGCTGAGGCACAACATCTGTGAAATTCATGCTTTTTACTGGTAATGACCATATCCAAAGACATGTAGGGATTATTTGGTCTAGATAATTATTTAATAAGGTTTCTCTAAATTAGTGACAGGAGAGGGAGCAGTAAACAACCACATTAGGATTCTTATTTCTGCTTTCCATCAACAATAGAGGTAGATTATGTCAACAAAGACTAGGATTTGTTAAAACACACTATGGAAACTGTCTGGTTTGATAATGCATAGGCCTGGAACCTGACTGTAAATAAGATTTTTAAAGGCAGTTTGTCTGTCCAAACATTGCTATGGTAAGTGTACAGTCCTCTCGAGATCCTGACATTTTAACAACAGGCTTGACATAACGATAAAGCACCATGCTTCTCTGACACATCCAGCTTCTGTCTTCACCTTGTTTAAATGTCAGGCAAGTCTTACAAGACATATATCTCTATCAGGCATTTCAGAGTGCAAGGACCTCTCATGTCTGTTATGTTCATGTTGAGTTGGATCCACTGTTTGAATGTGATGTTTATTCAGCTGAAGCTCTTTTGGGTGAATTTCCACCAGGGTCATCCCAAACATTTGTATTTCATTCCTGTTGAATCAAGGCTCCCGGCAAATGGTGGCTTAAACTCAGAACAAGCCCTTGCCTGGGTTTTGATGCCTTTAGAGAATTAGACTTGAAAGAAACTTGCAAAATACTGGTAGTTTTATATCCAGAACATTAATAATATAAATATTTTTTAATTCTTCAATTACAATATTACATCAGCAGCAGTAAATGTTCATAGTCTGTTGCTCTCTTAAATATCAATATTGCTTTGATTTATTTTGTTGTCTCTTCAATGAAAACTCTTGCTATTTGACCTTTTTCAGATTGCCTGACAACCAGAACTCCTTCTTCAAATGAAATCATTAAATTAGGAGAAGCAAATATATTTTGGTCAGTTCAGGAACTGAAATGCATGGATCCAGGGACTTTTGACAAAAATGTGGAACTTCTTGGGGGTGTCTCAGGTTTTAACAGCTCCCAGCTGACTGCCTTGAAGGAAAAAGCCAAGCAGGTAACTGTCCTGTCTGTGAAGGAAAATTAAATCTGTAATTTGATTTGGTGTTATTGAACTATGCAGTTCTAAAATAACTGTGCTATGTCAATGTCACTACAGCCACAAGAATATCTATGGTTTATTGGAAAAATAATGTGAAGTGGTGATAGAAGACTATTGCCCTTGCTTTAGAGTCAACAGGCAAGTAGTTCTGAGCTATTGGCAGCTGGAAAAGTGAAGTGGTTTTACTTTTGAATTACTTTTCTGCTTGCTTCTCACTTTCCTTTCATAAATGTAAAATCAGCAAGCAGTACTAGGGGCTGTTGATTGCCCTGCTGAGAATTAAGCTTGGCATGTTAAACTGTCTGTGTGGATGCTAAATATAGCTTACAGTGGGGTGAACCCAAACTGACTGAAAGGCAGTTATTGGCTGAATAAAGCTCCTTTTTCCACCTTCTCACAGGCAGGGACAGATCCATCAGTGGGAAATTTTAGGGAGGAAAAGTCCCACCTACATTTTGTCTTTACCAGGAGCACAGTTGGACAGAGGACTGTGCTGGGGGCAGGCCAGCACTCTGCCTGGGTCTGGGGTATCAACAGAGCTCTGAGCAGCCCTGCCTGAGACAGAGTGGGCTGGCAGAGAAGTCAGGCTTTGCTCCATCCCTGCTGTGGCCATTGCATTTCTCCCTGGGGTGGCCTCTTGCTGCTTTGTGGTTGCCTGCACTGTGAGGGAACAGGCAAATTCCCAAACATACTTTTAATTCAGCAAGAAAAAGCCTTAGGGTGCAGTAAGACAAATTATTCTGGTTGCAGAAAACTCAGAGGTAAAGAGGCTACTGCCCCAACCTGGCTTCAGCTTCCTGTCAGCAGCATCTGCTGGAGGTTATCTGTTCTCTGCTTCCATCTCTGCATGGTTGCTCTGTAATTCCCTTCTGTCAAAATGATCCAACATGTAAAAGTCCTTTTTAGGTTCCATCAGATCATTCTGACAGAATGAGGTTGGGAAGCATCTACAAGTTGCAGTTGGCTGCAAGTAGTACAGAGTGCAAGAGGCTTGGAGACCTGAGGGCTGTGACCTCTGGAGGAAAGCAGGAGCAGAGGCACCATGGGCCTGGGCAGCATCTCCTTAAACCAGCAGCTGCAGTCAGTAGTGGAGCTGACCATGGATTTGGGGTAAATAAGGCCAACTGTGCAATTTTTAGCAGTGAAGCTCAGCTTTTAAAACAGTGGAACTGCAGGTACTTGAAGAGAGGTGGCACTGCACAGATTTCTGAAAGCAGATGGTGACTCTGCAGTTGTGTCTCTGCTGCCTTGTTGTAGGAGGACAACTGCAGCAAATGTATTCTTCCCGAGTCACCTTCCCTCTGTCAGCATGGACACGGGTGGGTAGGAAAAGGGGAAGAAATGTAATCCTAGAAGAAAATAAAAGCAGTGCTCCCCTGACATAGTGAAAGCTACTATTCTTTACAACAGTGCAATATGTTGGTGTACTTACAGAGTGATATCAGTTGTAGGGAAATTGCTAACAAGGTTGATCCATTCACATTTCTAGCTATATTCAAAGACTCTCAGATCTGTAGTGCACTGAATGGCAGTATATTCTGTCTGTGAGTGTTTGTACAGATTTCTGCTAGACAAAGACTGACTTCCTGTATATTAATTTCAAAATGCAATGTGGTGTTACACTGAGCATGAAGCATGAGAAATGAGACAGGACAGGCAAAGCTCTTTGAAATTATGTGCATAGATGCTGTTATGTTATTAACATCGTTGATTAAAGGTTTCATTAAGCCTGAACTACTCATTGTTCCAAACTAATTCAAAAAGTCTAGTTATCAGATTGTATCTTAATGAAAGTAAGAAGCTTAGCTCACTTGTAAGTGGAAGGTCTCCCAGCTCTGCAGCACTGACAGCTGTATGGATCTGTAGTTCTAGGTGAATGAGGACAAAGGAGTGTTTCAGTTTCATGTGTTGTGTTATTTATATCATTCTGCCTGAGATTTCAGCCAGCCCTGTCAGATAATACAATTTATGAAGTATTTCAAATTCTGTAGTTTATGGCCTAGATCGGGAAACAGACACTTGGCATTTTTGCCTGCCTGTGTTTCATGTATCTCTTAAGCTAGAGAATTAAAAGCTTTAAATTGGGCTAATGCTTTTTACTATCTATTTGCTTTGGAAAAGATTGAAATTTCCCAGACTTAGACCCTTTATGACACTGTAAAACCAACATAAAAGATCTGGTGGAAGCTCAGTTGGGAGGTACAAGTCCAGCAATGCATCTCTTAAACAAATCCTTAACCTGAGGGTCATAGCTGGGAAAAGCCTGGCAGCTGAGCCTGCTCTGTGCTGGATGTGCACAGCACAGAGCCTGCAGCTCTGTGTAAGGAGTACTTAATTTCAGAGATCCAGCTTCCTGAGCTGTACTTTTATATTTTCTGGAGATTGTAGAGCTCCATGTCTATCTGATGGTGCAAACACTATTTAGTAGGCAACTGCAGTGATGCTCTTCAGCAAGTCCCCACTAGCTTTGTCCTTTTTAGCTTTTTGAACAAAACTTTAAAAATGGAAAATGGAATAAATATTTTTTTACTCAGATAGTAGCCCAGCCCTGGGCTTTTAGTTTTAATTTTCTAGGTAGAGTAGCAGCATGATGTTGTACTGGAAACCTGTCATGTATTCACTGACACAAAGCAGAGTTGCTGAAGTACTTGAGAGCTTTAAAGCAAGCTTTTTTTTTAAAATGTGTGCCTGTCTTGTTTAAGCCACTTCCTCCAGCCAAAATCCAGTGTCTTTTTCTGTAAGGCAATTGGCCACATCTGGGGAGATACTGACCACTGTCTACAGTCTTCTACCATTGTCAAGGAAATGTAATTGACAGTTCTGGCCTCTGAAAATTCAGCTCTTGATGGACTTGTATTATTCTTTACTCAGGCAGAACTTTTTCTGATACCAAAATTTCCTTTGGGCTGCTTGGTGACAGCTTTTCAATCACTGTCACTTTACATGAAGAAAGTCAAAAGCAGGGGAAGTCGTCAGTTTAAATACATTTGTACTGGTTTAGAAGAGCCTCTGCTTATTTCTTTGGATTTTTTACAAAACTTTAACAAATTTAACTGTATCTGTACAAGCGCTTTTGAAATATTTTTAATTTTAACGTTGTATGAACACAATCTAGAAATCAGAACTTTAGGAACTGGTTCTTTGTCTGTATTTCTTGATTCTCTACTTTGTCTTACCTTGTCAGTGACTGAGTTAGGGTGGCTGATCACAAAAGGAACTTAAAGTCAGTCCCCTGGAGCCATTGCATCTGGGTAGAAGCCTGGGTAGTGCAGGTGCTGCTTTCTTGGCAGTATAACAGTGTGGATCTAGGCATAGATTCCCATTTTTATTGTTCTTAGTGGTTTTGCTCCTACAGCCACACTTCCAGCAGTTCCTATTCTGACTCATCCACAAGTCCAAGCAGTAAAAATTGCAGCATTTTTAGATGAACTAATCATTATTAGTGTAGAACCTCAAAAACCTTTACAATAGCTAATAATTATTGATGTAGAACCTCAAAAACCTTTACAGTACCTAAGCTCTGCCTTTTGTGTACAAAGAAGAATATTCAGGTTTTAGGACTTTTGAACCCAGAGGTTTGAGAATGATGAATATAGAGGAAGAGTCATAATAATCCAACAGATATTAATGACTCTCATCTAAAGGTCTGGGGTTTGCTGCCAGACTGGAGAAGTTACCAAATCATCTCCCTGGGCCGCATTGCTCTGGCACTCACTGAACAGGAAATCACAGAGCTGGACCTGCACTCCATCGACACAGTTTCTGTTCTTAGTCAGCAAACAGGGTGGACTTTTACCCAGGTGAGTGAGTGAGTTACTGAATGTACTCCTGCTGAAAGGCTCTGGATTCATGCCCTTTGGGACTCAAGTCCTGGAATTGTCTAGAAAACAGATCCAGAGACCCACACTACTCCCTGCTGCTTTTCTGCAGCTGTGAGTCCAGTGAAAATGGCCAGCACTGGTGTCTGCCTGGCTGGGGCTTCCCTGGGGAGGAGGCCAAGACAGCACCAATCACTGGTAATTGGGGTGGAGATGAGTGTGTTCTTTAGCACTTGTCCCCTAAGCAGTGGAAAGAGGTCAGCAGCTCTTCTCACATTTCTGTCCCTGAGATAGACACTCCTGCTAGGAGTGCTGGTCCTTCCTAAGGACAATCACAGAATAGGTAGTGTGCCCCAGCCCCAGCATCCATTGCCCTAGAAGCCCTTTATTAGCAGATACACTCCTCTCATGTTTCTTTCCTTGAATAACTTCTAGTTATGTCAATGGGACTTTCATAATAAGAGTTAAAAACTTTTATTTATATATGCAATTGGCAGCATATTTCTGACTTGGTAGCCCATACCATTAGGGCTCTGTCGCTCCACAGATGCTGGCATGGTGGCAGTTTTGGCAGAATATCACAAATCTGTTTAATAGATTAATGTTCTGAAGGGCACATGGGAAGATTTTATACAGAGCCAGTTTGCTTTTGAGGTTTCCTGCTATCAGTAAGAGGAGTTAGTTAAAAGAGATTAACCCTGCTGAATTTCAGTTGTCTTAAAACTTTGGCAGCTAGTTAAGCTAGTTATTTGAAGCTCAGCATTGTGGATAGTTTAGGAAATCTTGAAAGATGATTGTTTCTTTCACTGGCTTTGGAGGATTCCTTGGTGACATGCTTGAGATGGGCTCAGTTTTTAAAGGGTTAGTTTAAAATGAGCACCATCCTAAATTGGTTTGCAAAGGCACTTTGGTACCAATATCCCATTCATATCTGAAAATGAATCCTTGACACAGGTCACCACTCATATATGGCACTTAAATGAGGCAAGTCATCCTGAGTATTAAACATAATAAAATTACATATTGATCCCCTAAGTTTTTTATGCTTTCCTGTAGCAATTTAACTGATTCTGTGAGTAAATCCAGCACCATTTCTTCTGGTGAAGGCTTTCCTTGTGACCTGGCAGAAGATGTACAGAGTGTTTTTACACCATTTGCATTTAGCAAGTGGTGGGTAACAGTGCCCTGTTTTAGTGTCACATGTAGGTGGTGACAGTGCTCCTCCTGAAGGCCATGGCCATACACTGGGGAGGCTCAGGATAGATATTTATGCTCCATAGCTTCTGGTAAGATTTTAAGCATCTAGTAACAAACCCTTCAATTATATTTACCCTGTTCATGCATACTATCTTACCTCTATTGCAGGCGAGAGCTATTTTGCAAGGTTTTCTAGATGACTCTGGCCAGACCATCAGCACATTAAAAAGTTTTGATTTAGTTGGATTAGGAGCTGTTCTCTGTGCATTGAACTCCACAGAAATCACATCCATAAGGACTGTTGAATTCAGGTACTGTATTTTATATCTAATGAAATATTTATTAGTAACTCTGTTGATAAAATTTATTGTGCCATTTTTGTTCCATCAAGATTTTCAGAGCCTAAAGGACACCTTTTTACATTTTAAATGCTTTTAGAAAAGCAGAAGGCATGCAGCAGTTGTTTAAAACATGTTATTTTATAGTCTTCCTCTGCCATTTATATCCCACCATTTAAGTATTGCATCAAGAAATACAGGTTTTTGCTTTAAACGTGAAATGTTTGTATGCAATTTGTGCACATATATTTTAAATTGAAAATGGGTTTTACAGTCTTCTTACAGCAGGCTAAGTATATTCCCGGCCTATTTAGTACTCCATGTAAATGCAGCTTGTAATGATGACCTTTTGCCCTTTGCAGTGCTGCAATTGCAAGAATTGGCCTGTTGTTTTGTAGCACCCCTGTTCTGAGGCAGTTGAAGAAGATGACAGAATCTGTGTTTGGTGCTGCTACCAGCTGGAATGGCTCTATTTTACAGGAAATTGGTACTATTGCAGGTAACAAAGCTGCAACTCCAGATGGTGATGGTTGTGAAGCATAGCTATTAAGAGATGGATTCACCTAGCTGGGGATTTTTCTAGACTGTCAAAAGGCATTTCTTCCAGAGGGGAGTCACCTGCAGGGACAGACATCCAGCAATTTCAGAAGCAATAAGAAAAAGTCGTGGTATGCTCTGTAAGGTTCTGTCAGTCTGGTCAAACTGACCTTGGAAAGCGCAGCCTGAAGTTACTTGGGTCCTGTAAGCTGGAAAGGGTAAATCAAGAAAGGCAAAACCAATCAGGGTTCCAGATCCATCACTCTTTGTGAACCAGGCTGTGCTCTGCTGCCCAAGTATCCTGCCTGGAAAGGATGGGCTGGCCAGGGAAGAGGCACAAGGAACAGAAGTCTCTTTGGAGACTTCTCCAAAGAGCTCTTACAGCCTTGGAGATCTCCTGATCTAGAGGTCACTCCCAGTTTTGCTCCTGAATTTGTTTCCCTGTTATTGTTCAACTGCACACTAAGCTGTCATAATTTTTAGTATCCTCAGTGCTTGTGGCAATGATTCCCCACCATAACCACCTAAGTGGTGAAGAAGTCACTCCCATTGTATGATTATGCTCCGTAACCATGGATCAGAAGAGACTGAATGAGCATCATTCTGTAATAACATTGCTTATGATTTTATAGGCTTTTATAATTTTCCAAGATAAAGTAATTTGGGTAGAGTACATTCCATCTCAATGGCTAAGGTCAGAGAATTTGTAGTGCTGAAATTTAATGAAAGAAACAAAACATAGAAAGAGCCAGAATTTCCCTATATAACACCCTGGAATAAATCATTTATTATATACTTTTATAATGGCATAAAGTTTATATTACCTTAAAAATAAATTTAATAAAAAGAACATTAATTGAGTTTTGTTTCTATTATGTGGGTTTTTTAGGTGGTTTGAATGAGGATGAATTAAAAGCTTTTGATAAAAGCTTGATGCCATATTTCCAGCCATCAGCAATAAGACATATACCTCCTGAAATTTTCCAAGTAAGAGTTTGATTACTGAAGAAGTTACTAAATTTCTATTTGTTTTACTCTAGTATAAATAAACTGCAGCACTGATTTATAGGTTTTGGGTTTTGGCAAAAAAACTTCTGTGGTCTGTTAAGTGAGAGACTATCAAGGATCTGGAATATTAATTTTCATCTGTATCGTCTGTATTTGTGATGCCTATGAAATATGCTAGACAAGTTTATTCATCCTTCAGAATGCATCCCAAAGAAATAGCAAGTATCACAAAACAGGAAGTGGATACTGTATCTTCCAGCATTTTAGTCAGATCTGAATTTTTGTTTCTGTTTATTAAAATTTGCAAGGATGCTGTAATAGCTACAGATTTGTCTGCTGACTGTGCAAGGGCTGTTTTATTAACCTAAAATCTGGCACCATTCTCCCGAGTTAGCTCTGAAAAACAGATTGTGCAGGCAGATACAGATCAGAAAGGAATTATATCTAATTAAAGCAGTACTGAATGTGGACCAGAAATTAGAACAGGGATCCTGAGATCATTGCCCCTTACTTTCTTTGACTTAGTGAGAAGATTAAAACTCTGCCTGGGCTGGTCTCTCTCAGATGCTCAGGCAAGCAATGTACTTATGGACAGTTGAGCTAAACAGAGAGTTAACTGTGTCAGCTCCCATAAATTAGAAAAACTCCTTGAGCACTAACTGTGCATAGTACTGTTGACAGTTCAGATAAGCCTGAAATGTCATTACAGAAACTATTTCTTTGCAAAACAGCTCTATATTGTCCTGTAGAATTTCTAACAAACATTTTTATTAGTAAGAGTAGTAATGATGCTACAAAAAGTGATTAACAAAAAGCAGGGTACCTCTTTTCCAAAGAGTGTCCTATATTTGAAAGATTCAAAGAAGATTTTGTTTTTACACAGGCTTTTCATGGCCTCATTTTGCAGCTGTATAAATTATTCAGGTTTTGATTTATGAAAAATTACATTGTATTATGGATTTCAAGTGAGTTAAGAAGATGTTCAATTCAAAATGTCTGAACCTGTAGGCATTTCCATGAGTTTGCTGAGTTCAAACCAGCACACCATTTGGTAGACAAGGAAAAATGGGCAAGGGTTTGCTGCATCATCTGACTTGCAAGGGGGATTTTGTCTTTCCAAAGTAGAACCTGGATGCAGAACTATTGCAAGAAAAAAGGCTTGTTATGTAGGAGGGTTAAAATGCTTGTGACTGCAGAATGTTAGCTAGAACTAAAGCAAATAATGCTTAAATAAATCTCAATAATGCAGGCTTTACAAATTGCTTAATTGCTATATGATATAATTACTGTGAGACTATGATTGCCATGTTTAATTTTTAAATTTAATATGAACAAACTGGGAAGATTTTCAATCTTAAAGAGAAAATTAAATAATAAGATTAAAGCATGGGGTCTTTTCATCTCATTGCTCTACTGCTAACTGTAACCAAAGGTCAAATGTAGGTTCAAGTGAGGTTGCTTGGGAGCAGATATAAGAGGAAATAAATGGAAACACAAGAGGTTGCACAACACCATCAGTCTTTGAACAAATCAGAAAATAAATGGCTGGAAAATTAAACTCCAACAATATATTGTAGAAGTCTACAATACAGTGCTGGCACAGAAAGCTTCTCAAGCTGTCAGCTTCCAGCATCAAAGAGAAAGGTGACAGATAGATGAGTGGTCAGAGAAGTAAATGAATACAGAGAGTTCTTTTAAGCTCTATTGAGCTCTTTTATGGCAACACAATGTTGAAGGCTAATGTTCTTCATTCCAAATGCAAGGCAGTGCTGACTTCTGATTCCTTACCTGCCTTCTATAATTGACAGCCTAAACCAATTTTTCTGTCTTTTGTTCCTCCCAGGCATTGTCCCCAGAGCAAATAGCAAATCTGGGCCCTGAGAACGCCGCCATGGTTACAGGATCACAGCGGGAGCATCTGGATGCATCACAGCTCCAGAGCCTGGGGCTGGCACTGGATGGAGCCAGGAGCAGCAGCCCAGGGACACAGAGCACTGCAGGATCTCCCCAGGAGGGGCAAACCCCAGCTCCCAGTGGTGAGTGGAGTCCTCCCTGCTCCTGCCTAGGGGAGGGGCACACACCAGGGTCAGGCCTCTAGTCTAAGGGTGGGTTACAGTGAATTTACTACTGAACTTCTACAGTTGTGCCTCAAATCACATGCCTGACCAAGACAAACAGCCAGGAGGATGCTGCATTTACCTACAGCAATTTACCCACAACAAGAGGTAATGGAGGAAGACTGTCAGATGGCATTAGCAGCTGTCTAGTAGCATTACACTGTGCTAAGCACTAGCTTGTGTAAAAGGTAATCTGAAATAGTCAGCTTTTCCCTCTCCTTTCCCATATTCTTTGCCTAAATTTAAGGCAGCATCTCTGGACCTTCTACATACAGCAGAATGTTGTTTGCAGAGCTGCAAGTGGGAAAGAAGGTAGTACTGGGGTGGATTAGCATCTTTATCCAGACTGAAGGACCATTGAATAGTTTTTCCTGCCATTCCCATCCTATTTGGAATTAAAGCTTATTAGTATCTATACTTCAGTGGTTTAATCTTCTTCATATTTCAGTTTATACTGGGCAATGTCAATGGATGTGTTACAGTGAGAGAGTTTGCACACAGTCAAGATAATGTTGAGAACTTATCCCTATCAGACAGCAAAAATTGTTGCTTCCAGTGACACCAGCAAGACATAAGCTGTTGGAGGAGGAGAGGGAGGGAAGCTGAAGTGCTGAAATAGGAGTAAGGGGCATGATAGGAGTAAATTGCCATGGTGCCCTTGCTGGAATTAGAGCAGGCCTTCCCAGAAGCACCTGGGAAGTGCTCTTAGCCAAGCTCCCTCTCACATATGACCTGTTCCTTCTGGAGGTCTGCCAAAGGGAGGAGTTTTCCAGGTAAAGATCACCTGAGTTGTTGAGTTTCTTGTCCATTGTTCCCAGCTCCCTATGAAATGCTTCTCTTTGGAGCTGTGTACATTAAACTGGAAGTGATATCTCTTGAGAGCTGTAACTAGGATTCAGCTGTTGGAATTTGCTGCACCTCTTTGGGGTGGTGTAGATAAGACTTCTCGGACTGAGCTGTAGTGTGACACTAAGAAATAAAGCCCTCTGCTTTCCAGGTGCTCCTTGTTTGAGTGGTTTTGGCATCTGGCTGTGTGCTGTGTTTACACTGCACCTGCCTTTCTGAACGATCAAGGGCTGAGCTTGAGGTAAGTTCTATTTTCAGTTAGAGGTAAGTTTGTAACAGAAGCACAGATCACCTGTAACAGGGAAGAAGGACTGTGGAATCCTCTTCCTGCTTTGAATGCAAAGATAACAATTCTTGAATAATTTTTCTGTGTTACAAATGTGTCTTGAACCTTGGTTAGACTATCTCTGAATCTAATCAAGGGGAAAACACTTTATCTTATCTTTATTGTAAAGCCAAACATAACAAAGGTATATTTAAAACTCCATGTAGCACAAATCATTTACTGCATTGTTTTTTTTTTTTTGGAACATGTTCTTGGTTTTATTCTGTGTTTTACCCATTCTAGGATATTTATAAGATTTTATTTCACAAACAGATCTATTTAGTAGAGTGTAGTTATGTGAGTCAGTTTAATTGCCATTAACTTTGATTGGTTTTTAACATTTTGACAGGTTAATATTTAAGAAGCACACTGGTGGGCTTGAAGTTTAGATTCCAGTTAGGCAAACTAAATGCTTAAGTATTCTACTTAGTCATTAAGATTGCAAAGCAAGGCATGTCAAAAGACTTAATATTTTCCTTTGCTTTGATTTTCAGTGTCCTGGAGCTTACAACAGAGATGCTAGAGATAAAAGAGTGTCAGCTCAGCTTGAACAGTAGAATCAAGAGGCTCTGACAATTCTGAGTGCAGAGTGGTTAAATTCTCACAAGCAAGACCCTCATCTGTCATCATTATGAGAACTATCTCCTCTCCATATCTTTACCATTAACAAGTAACACAGTATCCCTGCAAATACTTTAAGTTAAAAATTGGAAATTACTTATCTGTCTCATGAGAAATGTAGGATTGTGTGTTAGGTAGGAACTTGAATTATAGGGGGGACAGGTAGCAGAAGACTGTTATTTGATGGCTGATACCCAGTGCTTTTTACATGGGCTAATTTGGTCACACTGTTGTGTCCTTTTGTTGGGTTTTCTTTTGCTTCAAGTGTACATTCTCTGGGGAGGGGCTATCCTTCTATGTGGTGTAGTAGAAACTGCGCTAAAAGTTACTGCTGTTACAATAAAATAGCTTCATCTCAGAGCTGCTGGTTTAAATCCTCCTCAGACAAGAAGTGATAACAGGCTCTTAGAATTTAAGCACCTCTACAAAACGTAGTTTCCCCATGGCTGTTTGTATTCAATATAGAACTGTTGACACTGAGGGCATTGGCAATACTGTGAGTATTTCATGTGACAAAATGCACCATGGAAACTGCTTATGTTCATCAAGAGACAGTCCTTTCACTCCAGGTGGGGTTGAAGTGTACATCTGGGAATACTAAGGGGAAGCTATTCACTGGGCCTATGCACTACTAGGACTGTCAATCCAGTATTTTCCACAAGACCTAGAAAAAGGAATTTCTCCTAATTATAAACCATAGATATTTTCCTGTGTTTTATCAGCATATGATTTAAGTTTCCAATTTAGCTTCTCATGCCTCAATATTTCCTAGTAATTAGCTTCTCAACATTTTAAACAATGGGAAGAAAAACATATATTAAAAATCCTCCTTATGTGAACATACATTTTGATGTTGCTCAACATGATTTTAGACCACAAACACATGGCACAGTTTTCCATTTTGCCAGTGCAAAAATCTTATATTTTCTAAACGAAAAAAGACAATGCATGAACTGAAAAGTTTAGCTCTTTTCATTCAGGGTTGTACTGTAGCAAATGCCCTTCAAACTGTAATTTATATTTCTTTATGGCAAACATTACATCTGCCTTCTGGCCTGAAAGTAGAACTGAAATTTTTCTCATGTGGGGAAGCAATTGGAGTGGGAGGGAGGGAGAGCTGGAGGGAAGAGCCCAGCAGCTGCTGAGGCAAGGTGAATGTGAGCTCTTGCTGCAGTTGGGAGTAACAGTTCCCACCACAGTCCCATATTCTGGAATTCCTGCAGCAGCAGGGGCTAACTTGATTCTCAGGGCTTTGTTATTGGCAAAGTAGGCAGTGAGAGCAATTTCTCACCCCCTCCTTTCCCTCTTCCCCCTTCAGCAATCTGCTGCTTTGGGAACTGCCTTTGCCTATAACTAACCCTGGCAAGTGTGACATGATGTTATAGATAATACTGCATGCTTTAGTTCTGCATTTTATAAGCAAAGAATTATGATTGCTGCAAACTGCCTGGCACTTTTTTCTCTAATCCTCATTGTAAGATTCTAGCTTCTCCAGCTGTGTTTCCTTTTCTGCATGTGAACAAGAGATTGAGATATATATTTAAATAGAAAAAAGTTTGTTTTATTAATCCCAGCAAGTACATGCAAATGTCCACTAAAACCAAGTGGATCAAATGCATTATAAAGATTTATCTGTGTTTTCACATTAGAAAGTTCTGCCTCACTCAGATATGAAAGTACTAAAAGATTTTTTGATTTCTAGAAATTGCCTGACTTGAAGTCTGTGTGCACTTCTGAAGATGCAGGAGAGTGTTTTCATGTCAAGAAGATAGTCAGCATTTCCAGTTCAGCTGTTTAGTTTGGATACGTGACTTAGCTCTACCAAGCCCTTCAAAAATCTATATAAGTTGAAAGTGATCTTCTTCTGTCAATATACCTGGGAGTGATTCCATTTGCAATTATGTGAGTCAGAGTTTAGCTTTTAATTGGAGCAGGAGTGAGTTCTTTGTTTTGTGCCATCTGTGCTGTAATTTCTTTAAAGCACAAGTGCTTTTAAATTGATGAACTGCTTGATTATTTATATATTTTATTAAATTAATAATGACATTAAGAACTTTGGCATTGCATTTACATTTGGTCAAGAGCTTATCTATTTCTTCCAAGAGTAGTGTAGGAGGGGTAAATGTAGAGGACTGACTTAATCTTGTACTGATTTCACTGTGAGATTGCAAATCCTGTTTGGTTCATGAGATGGTGTGAGCATTTCGGAAATATGTAGAAAAGCAATTTTACTCCTGCCAAAGTCCCTCTTGTAAAGGTCACTGGTGGAAAAGCCCATTCTACAAAATCTGGGATTCATTAGACACTTCCATCAAAACTGTTGAAACATAATTTCTGTGGGAAGAATAGATGGAGAGCAGAGAAAGGCATAGAGAGCACAAGTATACTCAGTGTGTAATCTGTGTGTGTGACCTGCCATGCATTCACAATCCTGCACACTTTACTTCCATGGAACAAACCACAGAACCCCTCAGTGCAGGCGTCTGTCCCTTCTGCAGATGTGTATTGCATGCAACATGCACGTGATCACTTTGACTGGAATGCATTAATGGGAAAAATGTCTCACAGTCCCTCTCTTTTTGCATGATCAGGATTTTGGGGAAGAATATACTACAGAGAAATGTGGTATAAAGATTTGATTCCTAAAGAAATGTTGCTCTTTGTAGATGTGGGTAATATTTGTTTAAACCAAGCTTAATTTCTCCTACATTCTTTTTAGTTCTTTTAGATCTTTGAGAAAGAAAAATTGTATTTGTACATAAATCTGCTGTTGAATATAGACCATGGTAATAATTGTATCTGCTTATTGTGAGAACTGCAGCTCTCCTCTCCATTTGTGACCTTTCTGATGGTTGCTGGGCAGTGGCATACATCCTGTGGGATGCACATCCAACCATCCAGCTGCTGACAGTCACAGCTCTGGAGTAGGCCTGGCTCCTCTGAGTGCTTTGAGCCCTGTGACAGGTGACCCTGTCCAGCGGTATGTGAGAGGAGGAATTTCATTCCTGTGATTGAATGTAGGATCCTTCAGAAGTTAACAAATGGCAAGAAATACTT